TCGTCTTTGCCGGACAAAATGCTGGGACTAGGGGTATATGAGTGGGGCTACATAATCTACTTTTGCCATGGAGAGTGCGTGGCAGGTCGCAGTTAACTGCTATTAAACAAACATAAGTCACCATGCATCTACTTTATTTTTATAACAACTGCGCTTTTATGGCTCCGGGCGACAGCCACCTGCGTAAATTGACGAGCGCAACTGCTGCTTTCCGTCGCAAAAATTGACGTGTACCCTCGTAATGGCAACAGTCTTCATGAATAGCCATCTCCAGGCGTCCACACAGCCTGCGCCCAAGCAGACGGATCTGCGCATGAACTGACGTCATCTCTTAATTACCTGTTGATGGAATGTGGGGGGGGGAGGGGCAAGGGAGCCGTCAGATGGCTACGCGCGCACGCAGAGGAGCTTTGAAATCGCCATGTCTCTCTCTGTCTCTCTCTGCAGCGTGCCTCTAGCTTAGTGGAAGAAAGGAAAGGTTTCTGTGTGCGCCTGGAAACTGAAGAAGTGTTTGTTGTTTGCTTTTTGACTCTTTGATGAATAATGTCTTAAAACAGGCATACACTTTTGGGCAGTTTTAAAAATTTATAAAAAAAACGCTAGGTTTTGTTAATAAGTGGGGCCATGCTGTAAGAAAAGCTTGAGTTTTCCCTTCACCTTATGTCGTGAACGGAATGCGTTTTGAGAACGTCCAAGATTAAGTGTAACCACAAGGCTTTAAGTAATACATGCACGCAAAAAGAGGGCCTTGATTGAGCTGAATGTCCAAGGCATTCGACAGTTCAACAAAATTTGTTGTAGGGTTCAGCAAAAAATTAGCATATTGTATTTGTTTGTACACCGCTCTATCTCTCAGGATTTGCTCATCTTGCAAGCATCAACCCAGGATGGGTACATCCTGAGGCATAGATCGGTGTACAAACAAATACTATATACTCCCCATCAACAACCGGCAAGACATCGAACTCGATGGCTCAATTTTTAAGACGTCTGCCCCTGACTGGCGAGGCGCGATTTCGAAACTCGGGTGTGGCGGCAATTTCAGCGGCTACACTAGAGTTGGCTGCCCAGCTGATGAGGGCCAGCAGCCCAAAATAGCCATCCTACGGTTTGCCTGTCTTGTCGGAATACTAACAGAGTTAGCATATTGTTATCCTTTTTATAACAACAGTATTATGAAGCTAGTGTTTATGATTCGGTGGATCGAATATTTGGGCCTGTATCGGCCCAGCTGCATAATATTTTGTAACTTTCGCAGTGTTCGCGCAAATTTTGAAAAAAAGGTGGTGTACACTATAATTTTCGTAAATGTCAAAGCATATAAAAGCTAAGCTTCACACCTCCCTTTTCACGTCCTAATCTTGCCCTGGAATTTCATTAACCAACTTTGAATATATGAGTGGCCATAACTCAGTATGAAGAACCAACCCATTGCGAAGAGGAAGACTCGATCGAAATATCAGGTGAATAAACATATTGTCCCAGCGATCAAGTCTTCTTCTTCTCAATTGCTTCCTGGGACACGCATATTAGCTTTTATTGGCAATTTATTTGGGCGCGATGCGCTTAGATCGGCTCGACGATGGGAAGCATTTACTATTCGTGAGGCCTCAACCTATTCGCGGATCCGGTTTCTGCACAGATGTCTTGACAAGAACCAGCCCATTATCATACTTTTTCTTCATAGTGTCTATTTAGGAGGTGTTGCTTCTGTTAACCTGCATAAAATTAGGTTTTTATATCAAAAGTCGTAGCTGGCTGTTCCTCTCTCCACTACATTCAACACGGCAGCCCATTTAAATAGCCATATGATTTGCATTAATTCTGCCTCAGGCAAATTTATCTTTGAACAGATTTAACTCTAAGATTTAACTCTGTTGTAATGAATTTAACTCAGAAAAAATGGAACCAAAATGGTTACCATACGGTGGTGGTCGTCAGTAAATATTTAACTTTGATAATTTCATAAGATCGCTGTGGAAAGTCATAAAACTGCTTGATTGTGGTTTTCCTTGTTCAAAAACCTTTTAACTATAGGTAGTTTCTTCTGCCCATTTCGTAAACGGCCACTCTCACCCTCTTCACAACATATAGGCCACGAAGATTAAATATGACTAACTTACGTACTTATCTACTTCGGGCAGGAAACTATTCATTTATATAGATGCAAATATTGTATCAATTTTACGTTAAACATGCACATCCTTGGAACAATGCGACTCTGGTAGAATGAAACTCACCTCGAAAAAATAAGCAAATGCTCACCATCTGGTTTCGTAATCAGTACATATCTACAGTTAGCAATTTGGTTCGGTCTTGAACATGTTACCTAAGCAACATGTAGCGGTTGCAAAACACAGATATTGCCTCTATCATCCTAATTTACTCTAAATTATTGTACCATCCACTTGTTTCTCGCAGGCAGCAGTAGAGCCTAGGAATCCGGTCTAAAATCTCTCTCCTTTAACAATTTCAGGTCAGCTGGAGGAATTCAAGCGTTTTCTGGTTGATCGAAAAGCTCCCGAGGCGCTGCAACGGAAAGTCATCTCCTGGTTCGATTACCTCTGGCGACAGAGCCGGATACCGGACGAACAGAAGGTCTTCAGCCACCTGCCCGACAGTCTGAAGGCTGAAATCGCGATTCATGTCCACCTGGATACTCTCAAACGTGTGGATATATTTCAAGATGCTGAGGAAGGCTTCCTATCGGAGCTTGTCTTACGTCTACGGCCTGCTCTCTACTCGCCAGGCGACTATATTTGCAGGAAAGGTCAGATATCCTTTTTACATGAAATAGCATTTAAAATGATTTCGTGCCCACGCATTAGTCGAAAAGGTATATCATCCTTCTCTAGATGATCTGTACCAATAGAAATGGACAGAGGCATCCCACGAAGCAGGTTAGAAGTAGAGGATGCGCTGCCAGTCATTTCAGATTCTGTCTTGAATTTTTCATCAGTAATAACCGCAGAAGATATGGGTAATGCACAGGTTAAGCAGTATTTATAGTACGTAGCGGCAACTGCAATAAGAAGCTCCCGGCAAGGTCTCAGTATGTTCCCATACACACTACTGACACTAGGTCTGAGCAGGGGAATCAGTCACCTGAAAAGAGAGCGGCCGAGCGACACGTTAGATGGCAGTAAACCTAATTTTCGCGCAGTTATCAAGCCAACGTCAAACACGAATGATGACATTGCGGTAATTAATGACTTGGAGTTGGACTGCAAAGCGAGTATCACGTTAGCTACTAATCGTAGTACGTATGCGGCTGCTTAGCCACAACGGATTATTAATGCCTTATGCATTTATGCCCCTATTCTGCGGCTGTCTCTGATGAGGACTGCCAGACAGAATCCGAAACGTCTGAAACGTCTAGGTTGAGCGATTGCATTTGCCACTTGTGTTCATTCAAAAAGTTACACGGGAGGTTTATATGTAATGGTCTGAGTACTACAGCGCTGAATAACGCTCTTTTTATCAAGTATCGATAAAAGGCGTTTGGTACTTTTGTTGTCTATATTTTCGAAATTTAAAAAAGGACAGTAAGACAGTGAGGAAGTAATCATATATTTTTTTTGCAAATTTTTTGCTACTCGGTGTTTTACAGCTTGGGAGGCCGAACAGACGTTTTTTAGGAAATTCATAGTGCTGCCAACTTTCACGTCAGCATAGGTCTCGTGAAAACGAGAAATGAAAAAAAGTCGTCCAGATGACCACCAGCATGGTAGACCAGACTAACTTTTCCAATACAGGAGAATATCCGAGTTCCAGGAAGCAGTTCGGAAGAAGAAGAAACGATCACTGGAACAAGAGGTTTATTTTCCTGACGTTTCGAGGAATCCTTAATCATAGGTAATAGAAGATCAGCCTGAGACATACGCAGATGCGTCTTATCTGCGTATGTCTCAGGCTGATCTTCTATTACCTATGATTAAGGATTCTCCGCAACCTCTTGTTCCAGTGATCGTTTCTTCTTCTCCCAGACTAACTTTGTTAGGTCGATTTTCCAACCTGTCGTAAATCGCACAAAACAAAGCATGGTGTATTCTCGGAAGTCTATTTTTTCACGAGTTGGGTCAAATGATAGTATTTGAGGTATATATATTAGTAAGAAAGAAAGCAGTGAGTTTGCCCGCCGTAATCATATTTTCATGCACTTATACTAGAGTCTACCGTCATATATTAAAAACTACAACAGAAGTAGTGCCATGTACATGAGATAGATGTCGATTTAACACCAGTAAGACTAGTCTAGAGGTAACTGCTCCTCTATAAAGTGATCGCATTCCCCTTGGGGGTCTAAGATTAACATTTACCAAACAGAACTTGCCGCACCTGAAAATTGACTTTATTTTTTTGATGTAAATTAGAAAAAAAAATCATCAACGCCAAACGCTTTATGGAATTATCTAGTTTAGATTAGTAAAAGTGTAGTCTTCCTTGCTGCAAACTAACATCATACCAGACAGCAAAGACAAAGGTAACACCAATCACTACCTTTGGCTATTTAGCTGTCATCAGCTTGGCATTGTTTACCCCAGTTTTACGCCAACACTGTAACGATTTGATCAGAAGCCGTACGCTCTAACCACTTAGCAATGTGCTTGTTGTCCTACCAATTTAGATCAGGTGATATTGACATTCATTGACAACAGCCGTAGCGGCAGGTAATCTAGACAGATAACACCGCTGGGCAAAAACAATGGAGACCAGGATGGCATTTTCTGGCTCATTAACCGTCGTCAACCAGTCACACCCAACCCCACCCGGAGCTCAAAACATTAATACCAGTAATGATATCTACTTGCCGTCTATTTTAAAGCCATCAACATTTTCCCCCTTTTGGAATACTAGAGACAGCTTACAGCCAATCAACTTTCCACAAAAAGCTATGTAAATGAAGAGCATGCCAATTAAAGGCAAATGCCTTGATGAAGATTTTGCTAAAGACCGCCTAACAGAATCTAATTTTTTAATGAATCGATTGAAGACACTGATAATTCTAATGTATTAGGGGCTAATACAAGAAGGCTCTAAATATAATCTCTCTTTAACACCAGCTATACCTCTAGATAATAGGAAAGTTGCCTTCATATACAGAAAATGTTACGCTTATTATTGCAATAGTGACGTTTCTGTGACATTCTTATCGGCAGAGATAAGCCGTTAGCAACCGGCGAGCGTTCATCAAGGAGTTGTCAACAAGATCAAGCGGAAACTTGCTTTTCGTAGTCTAAAAAACGGACAAAATGCAACCGTGATGTAGTCCATACTCGAACATTAGGCTGCTCTCTAACAGCGCTTACCCATAATCAGTACTTTGGCATGAAGTTCACTCAAGTATTATTGTCAAGTGTTATATTACCTGTGTGCATTTGCTTGTTTAGCTTGTTTGTCCGAGCAAGATTTGCGCATAATTGAAACTACAGTTTACTCACCCATGACAAATTTCGACGTTTTCGGAATTTCCCACTTTTCTGAAAAAAAAACACTTGGACATTTCTAAATGACGGAACACTACTATAATCTTTAGAATATCTAAATATCATTCAACTTTAATGTCAGCAATACCTGTAGGTAAATTTTATGACAGGACGGTTGTTTTAATATACAGAAAACAAGTTGATTACAATTGAAATAGGGACTTTCCTGTGAACAAGATCGAGCGGAAACCTGTTTGTCTTAGTCCACCGCTTCTACAACAAAACCGACAAAATGCACCCAAATTTCACGAAAACATGATGGAGTCTTAACTCTTACTTTATGCTGCTTGCTAGCAGCCATTTATGTAGCACTTATCCGTAATGGGTATTTTACTATGATGTTCTCTCAAGTGTATCTTATCAAAGGTTACATTACTCGTGTGCATTTAAGTATGCTGTTTGCTTGTTTGAACAATGCTTTTGCACAATTAAAACTGCAGTTCACTCATCCAATACGTTTTTGCTATTTTTGGGAATCATCCACTTTTCTTAAAAGCATTTGGACATTTCTTAATGAGAGAACACAACTTTACATTGGCTCAAACACGTTCAGTTTTATTTAAAGGTGCTTTCTTCCATTTTTGACGGCGTGTGTGCGAACTATGGCCAATATTTTGTAACTTTTGATATGCTTCAAGCTACATCTCACAGCTTTAGACATTTCTTAACCATTTTTATGTCTTCCTTCCCTGGCTAAACAGGTCAAATTGGTCGCCAGATGTTCTTCGTTACCCAGGGCAAACTCGAAGTCCTGGCAGCTGACGAGGTCAATGTTATTGCAACCCTCAGCGCGGGCAGTTACTTTGGCGAGATTTCCATCCTGAACTTTGGCAACATCGGTAATCGGCGCACGGCTTCTGTGCGGTCAATCGGCTACGCAGACCTCTTTTGCCTTTCCAAGGAGGACCTCTGGGACGTGCTGCGAGAGTTTCCGGCGGCTAAGGAGAAACTGGAACAGGTTGGCCTTAGCAGGCTTCAGGACGCGAAAACCCAGCTTCAACGCTCAGCTGCAGACACTGGTAAGACAAATTGATATTGTAATTTACCATACTAACAGCTTAGGTACTAGCTAAATGAGCCAGACACGTGTTTTGCCGGTATTCTGCCGCTGCTTGACACGGCTGCGAGGGGTCCGGTTCATCAGTCGGTCCCCCAGCTTTCTGCTTTCTGGTTGATAAACCGGTTCTGAAAGTTCAACTTTTTTAATCTCCCGAGAAATGAATTATTGTTTGCGTTTTATATCAGTCTCTTGAAGGTCTGCAGGCGTAGACCGAAATTGTAAGTGTATATTTGGGTTAAAGCCCAAAAGACAACTTAGATAACTGAAAAGTCAGGCCACACAGCCAAACCGCTTTTCTCTTAGAACGTATAGTTTCAGGAGATAAATTGGTGAAAATACGTTTGTTTTTTGATAAATTCTCGTCAGGCCTTTACGTTTATATGGTAATTAACTAAATAAATTATGCGGGTTTGCAGAAAAAAAAGTGTGCTTGTCAACATAAGTGGAGGGCAGTAAGTGCAGTCAAAGTCGGAGCCGCGTTAAGGAGGACTAGTAGCCAACAGAGGTGATAAGCTGCGGGCTGTTGGATTGGCGGTTTTCGGCCAAGGTAACTGCGACGTAGCCTGATGGCGGCCTCTTCTGCCGTAGCCAACAGACGCTGTCCAGAGTATTTTGAATAGCTTGAGGGCCCCTTGTAGAGCTTCAATTCAGCGTCGTAGTTACCATGACTGAAAGCTACTAATCCAACAGCCCGCAGCCTATCACCTCTGTCGGCTACCAGTTCCCTTTAACGTTGATAAGAGTTTGAACCCGACCCCCCCCTACTTACCCTGACAGCCGCACTACCTTTTTCTACCAAGTCGCATAGTTTATTTAGTTGTCCAAAGGAAACGTTCGTTCGCCAATTTATCTTCTGAAATTTTCAATGGGATTTTTCGCAAATTAACATTTCCTATGGTTGTTTTATAAAAATTCTAATGCACAATGGAACCTGCTCTTCACCAGCAAAATTATAGAAATTGGGGCATAATGTATATGCGATCACCCAAACAAATCTATGCGACATTTCTACTTGAAAGAGTATCCCTTTTTTCCAGCCGCTGAGTAAGTATCTGACTTACCAATCTGGCTGTTTTGTTCCCGGACGTCAGTCAAAAAGAGGTTTTGGGCAATCTGATAAAGCCATGTAGGGAGTCCGTTTATCTGTTGCTATTAGTTTGTTACGCCTACTTTAGTGATTTCTGCATTAAGGGAGCCCAGTTGATTGGCAGCAGATGTGATTGATACAGGCCTGTGTTATGCATTAACCTACCTGATTTATTTGTTTTTTTTCCAGCAACCATTTGTGTTATTTTATATGTTTAAGTTAACATGACAAAGAAATAGCATGATTTTGCTTGGTCTTTTCAACATTTAGCAGTCTGCGAACATTTCCATTCAGTGCGTCCTCTCGGTGGTGAATTTTTCTTATAATGTGTTTGTGAGACCCGTCTAGGGTTCTGGTTGTCCTGTGCTCGGAAGTAAAAGCGGATGCAGTTAAAAAGTAAATATTAATTGGAAAAAAGTGTTCATGTTTGAGAACCTGGAAAGAAGTAATGAAGACTTTGCACGTATGCTCTTGTTTGGAACAACCAAATACAGATTTTGCCCTTTAGAACAGTTCATAAAACCCACCATCTCTCTGTACTTGCTTGAAAACACATATTTTGCCTAGGTTTTAATGCCGGTGAAAAATATTGTACATTTTCACGTAAAAGTTTGCCGAAAATTTGAGACACTAGACTGAAGAAGATGCAATCTTTTAAACAAGAATTACATTAGGCCAACTTTTTATATATGTACTTGAAACTATCATAGCAGCTATGCTTTACTCAAATTATGCGGTATTTATGGATTGCTGTTGCCATGAAATTGTAGGTCTATAAACAGTGTCAGTTTCAACATTTATAGTAGGTGGGCACCGATCGTTAAATAATGATCGTTCGTGAATGAGTGCCAATATCTCACAAAATAAACCGGCAAGACAATGAGCTTTTGGGTCAATGGTTAGAGCGTTAGAATTTGGATCAAAGGATCGTGAGCTGCAGCCATTTTTGTCACTGTATTTTGTTGCAAAAAAACTTTACAGAATAGCTGAATATAATTTTAAAACTTCTACCGCTGCTTATTTCTGAAAATAAATGCAATTGCTTAAATTTCGCTTCACTTTCATTTGATCAACTTCGGACGAAATTTTTAAGTTGTAGAAGGGATTATTATTCCACCTTTTTTTTACTAATTATGGTATTTTTCCACAGCACTACGTATATAAGTAGAAATTTTGGGTCTGTATTTCCTTATAGCATAGGAAATTTCTTTAATATAAACTTACTCATGATTTAGCTAAAATGAACGCCTATTTCCCCCAATAACTTTAACTTTAACTTTAATCCACTCAGGTTAATCAAAATAGCCTGTCCAGATATACACTAAACTACCAAGTTAAATTTTTTCATGAAAGCTGTTTGCAGGACTCGCAAGACTGTATGTTTTATTGCTGTGATCCCCACACGCCCCTTTCGCTCACCGTCGCTGGCAGTGAAAAACTGCATCCCTGCGCAGCTAATAGCCCCCATCCAGGTGATGTCAGCAAGATACATGTGTGGCGGACAGTTGATTGCGCTTTTTAATAGTCCATGACTTATCAGCCAGTTGCCTACCACGCGGTGTCAATTGTTGCGGGCATGCGTAGGCGATTTCTGCCGACACGGCCGGCGGCCATCAAGCTGTCATTGCCAGCCAGTCAGGCCAGGTGCGATGAAGCCGGCAGCTGTTATCTGTGATTTTAATGTGGCGACAAATGGAGGAGATCTACTTCCTTAGGAACTATTAACATATTTTTTTAAGTTCAGCGATAATATCCATGTAAGCCTTCAGGAAGTCAAGTTAGGCGAACGAACGATTCCGATTAATTCATCGTTAGGCCTCTTAATCTCTTAACAATTTTTTCCTCACCACTTTTAGATATCACTGATTGGTTGCTTACAATTTTGCTAACTCTTCCCTCCCTTAACGTTATTGTACATACCTGATGAGGAATTAATCGTTCGCCTTTTAACCGAATATTTGGATATGCCTTTTGTTTTAGCAAATATTACTTAGACTTGGTTACACTATTGATTAACCTGCAACACAATTCCAATAAATTTCCCTTACGATTTGATGCGGGTTTTCGAATAAGCCTCATTATGGCCACTTACAAGCAACAAATTTGATAAAAATGGCTACTACCGAAGCACGATTTTTAATTTGGATTTGTAGTAACCATTTAAATTAAAAAAATATTTTGTAGCAAATATTCAAAACGCATATTCCTTCGTTTATAAATAAAAAAAACTTTAGGAAATGCATGCAATATGCACCGTAATTCGAAAATTCATTCGCATTTCGAAGAGATAATTAAGTCACGTACGTGACTTAATTATCTATTCTATCTTTTCTATCGATTATTCGGAAAAACCTTTTCTTTTCAAGAAAAGTACACAGATTTAGTTGCCCTATTGGCTATCATACAGTATAACTCCAATGGATTAGTCTCACAACAAGATTCCGGCTTAAAAATGACTTAAAAATTCGATAAAATGGCTACGTAAGAAGCATACATTTTAATTTTCATTGCCCTCCTAAATTAAAAAAATTCTTTGTAGAAAACGTGCACAAAAAGCAAGCATTCGTTTACACATACAAACTCTATCAAATACATGCAATGTTTATTGTTGTCAGTAAATGCGTTATTATACCTACTGGGCACAATGCAGACGAATGTACCGTGTTGTATACTGTTAGTGCAGCATTAAAAATATGGCCAGTTGCGATGCTCTGTTAATATATATATATTTTGGGTAATTAGTGAATCGCTTATGTACAACCATTTTTTTCTCTTTGAGGGAAGCTGGAAGAATATGCGATTGGGTACCAATTAAGTAGGAAAAAGATGTGTAAATGTATCTTTCTAGTATATATAT